CAAGGGAACCATGAAGATCAGGGCGCAGGACCGCATCACGTTCCCGGAGGACGTGGAGGTGTCCGTGAAGGACCGCGTCGTCACCGTCAAGGGGAAGCGCGGCACACTGACGAAGGACCTCCGCCACCTGCAGCTGGACTTCCGTGTGAACAATAAGTTCCGCACCTTCACCGCCGTCCGCTGGTTCGGTACAAAGATCAACAACGCCACCATCAACACGGCGCTGTCGCACGTGCGCAACATGTTCACGGGTGTGACAAAGGGCTTCCGCTTCAAGATCCGCTTCGCCTACGCGCACTTTCCCATCTCTGTCTCCGTGGAGGATCAGCTTGTGGAGATCCGCAACTTCCTTGGGGAGAAGCGCGTTCGCCGGCAGCTCGTCGCCGATGGCGTCAAGGTCTACCGCACGGACCCCTCCGTCGTGAAGGACGAACTCGTGCTGGAGGGCAACGACCTGGAGGAGGTCTCGCGCGAGGCCGCCGTGATGCACCAGCTCTGCCTGGTGAAAAAGAAGGATATCCGTAAGTTCCTGGACGGCATCTACGTGCAGACCAAGACCCACGTCGAGGTGGATGAGTGAGTAGCGACGCCGCCGCGCTGTGCGGCAGGTGAGCTTGGGCTTCCGTTTTCCTCAGACTTTGCCAGTCGCCTATTCCTTTTTGTTTTGTTTATTTTTCATTTTGCTGAAATGCTCCTCTAAAACAAAATACCCACACACACCCACACACCCACACAGGCGTGGAAGATGATGGTGGTCTGGTGTCTCTCCATCCTTGCCGTTTCTCGCGTCGGGTGCGGCTCTGTGGTGTATTCCCTTCGCAATGCGATCTCCATGACGCTGCTGCTTGTTCCCTTTTTTTTGCCTTCATCTGCTTCCTTTCCCGCCCCCGTCACCCCCGCCTCGCTTGACGGCGACGACAGACGGGGAAACCATTTCGTTTCGAGGGAAGTCATGACCAAGGCGAACGGACAACACGCAGCGCGCAAGCTCGTCCGCCTGCGCCGCAAGAACCGCTGGGCGGACAAGGGCTGGAAGAAGGCCCACACTTTTGTGGCGCAGAAGGCCAACCCCTTCGGTGGCTCCTCCCACGCCAAGGGCATC